GTCCCAAAGCTGCACGGCTAACGGGGAGGATCCTGGACTGGCTGATGGACTCGGGGAAACTGCCGATGTACGGTCTGGCCAGGAGGCTGGAGCTGGAGCTCGCAGTCTGATACCCTTTCCTTCGAAGGCCAAGAGGCCTTCCCACTTTGTACTTGCAGGATCGCACACTGATCGTTTCCTTGATTGTCGATATGGGTTTTTCACCCGGCCCACGAGGGCGCGGTTTTCCTGTATAGTAAGTTGTTGAAGGTCCGGCACGCCCTAGGGCACAGCGGCGTAGGAATAATATATATAAAATTGCTCCACTAGCTCCTCCGAGCTACACGTCCCATCAGGATACCAACGCTGGTGCGAGGAGAAGGATGTCGAGCCAACATGAACGATCAGATACCGATTGCGTGAACAGGCGGGAACCAAGAGACACCGCAATCGATGAATCCGCTGGTGAGTTGTCCAGTGAGAGACGGGCCTGCCAAGGAACATTCGGCGTCGAGAACTTTAGCATACTGGACAGGCTTTGCGCCAGGTCAGCTTGCCGGGTAATGTAGTGCCCCGGGGTAGAGGACGGGCCCATCAACCAATGCCCATGACCAAGTCGGATCGCGCTTGTAGACGTCGGCAGACTGTGCTGTTCCCCGCTGAACGCTTTCCCGGTACCATCGCATCAAGGTGTCTTTCCACAGCCCGCAAGATACTGTTCTCCGCTGTTGCGCTGCATCTCGTCTGCCAAACCAGAGATTGTGGGAAGTGTGTCGCCGGGATAGGTGAGTTGGACTGCTGTATATTGACAAACCATATGGCGCCAAGTTTTCTCCGGACTGTTCTCTTCGTCCGACCGGAACTCGGAGATCATGTTGTGGAAGTCGCTTTTCCGGACGTTGTTGGCCTCGTACAATGCCAACTCCTCCCCGAACCCGCACTGGCACGTCCGAAGCTCGCGGCATTCTCATGAAATCTCCTTTGGGCCATAGTAAACCACCCACGGGCTCAGCATGCGCTCCTGGTATGCCCATGCTCGTGATACCAGAGGGAAACGGGCACCGTCCCCTGCCTTCGCCGGCTCGGGGAAGTGGTGGACTTGGCGGCACATAACGCCTTCGAGATCGAGATCCCCATCGATCGCCGTAAAGCAACCTCCACTGGCCGACTGCCAGGGACGCGGCCACAGTAAGGTATCAATTGCGGTAAACCTGCCCCATGCGGCCCGATTCGCGCTTCCAGTCGGCGTTGCCGTTGTCGTTCTGGATGATGCAGAGCGGATCGATCCACACGTACTCTATGCCCAAGGACCGCGCTGTCTTGGCTGCCTCTGTACCTATTGCGGAGCCCTCTTCAGTGGTTTGTGACGTGGGTCCGCAGCGGCCTGCTTGCTGGGCATTTTCGGCCAACGTTTCAGCTTAGGACTAAACTGGGCACATCCACTGGTGTAACTTATGCTGTAAAATGTTGCAGCCAACAGGCTCTGAAGAAAAAGAAGAACAAGATTAGGTTGCCCAGAATGGTTCTTCGGGGAAAAGAAGAGGGGGGGGGGGGGTGGGTGGTGAAGAACATCTATCTTATTTGGGGCCGTAAGCTAGCACAGCCTTTGGGGCTGGTTGATAGCAGAGTAATCGTAAGGTAGGCAACTTGAGACCTCAGAGCCCAGCTAGGGTGAAATCATGATGGAGGAAATCGAGATTTATAATAGAGGAGGAAGTAACGTTACAGATGGTAATCTTAATCCAGCTTAATCCACGTGCATCTGCCGCCGCATCAAGCGGTTCCGTATCCCGGAAACCGCGCCCGTTTGGTTGCCTCAGGCTACAGACTCAAACTGACCCAGATCCAGCGTGATTTGGCCTAAGGCACAAATAGATACGTAGCTTTCTGCCGGCAGAAAAGCACCACCGTTGCGATTCCGCTTTCCAGGAAAACGTCCAGTTTCGCTTGAGCTTCGAAGCTGAACACCCTTCAAGCAACAGAATCGCAATCTGATGCCCTACCCATTTAGCGATTCTTTTGTGTATGTCAATCCCTTTTGCAATTGCACCTTTTTCTCCTTTCTCAACCGGCTTTGTTGCCAATTCATTTCTGCTAAGCACCGTGTATTCTATCACCTTTTTCTGTCGATGTCCCTTTGCTGTTACCCGCGACTACGTTGCCCTGAATTACTGTGCAGGAGCTGACGTAAACCCACCGGCAATGCCGTGACTAGTGCCTGCCTTCTCGGCGTCGCCGATCTTACCACTGGCACGGTGTTGAAGACGTGACCTTACACTGGCCAGTATCTCCAAGAAGGAAAACAGCGGGGAGTTCTACCGGCATGATGTTCGGATCGTGTTCGGTGAGACAAGCAGCGTCCGTCTCTGGAACAGTGGTATTGTGCGAGGTGTTGTCGGGAGTAGATGCCTGTCCTGGCTCAAACGCAGCACAGCCGGCCGGAACGGGTTGGGTCTGCGTCGCGTGCGCAGTCTCAGGAGAGCTCGCCAATGACTTCAAAGGGAGCCCTAGGCTACCTCTCCGTCGCTGCTGGTTTGCAAACTCGTCGTCTAGGCCAGGCCCAATGGTGACTGAAGGCTCTGGCGCGTCGCTCTTGTTGGAAGCACCGTCGACACTTTTGCCGTCGACACTTTTGCCTGCTCAGACATGTCAACGTACTGGCCTGCCTAGGGATGCGAGATTTAGGCATATACCTGTGCTAGCACTACGGGATTTAACCTTATTATGTGCAACTGCTAGTAGCTCCTCAAGCGGCGGGAAAGACGCGTTGGATCGGCCATCGTCGAGATCGTCATCAGACTCGCCACCACTGGCGATCAGGACCGCATTGTCTTGTGACTTCCCAGCACTGCTGTGTTGAGGATCGTGCGCATCCTGGAGCGGCGGTGGCGGATGTAAAGGTGCCCCAAAGATAGCTGCAGAAGGCTTCCCCTTCCGAACCAGAGGACCGCGGCTCGCAGGCTCGGGGCCTGTCGCTACAGTGGGGTTGTAAAAGATCTGGATGTCGAGACAGACTGTTGCCATTGCGTTACCAGTGATACCGCGCGTTATCGGCTTGCAGAAGATGTCGGGAGTTATAGAGAGAGCAGTTCCCGGAAGCATGCTGGCGTTCGAACTGGCGATCTTCGGAGCTGCCCTCCCCTCGGTCCAATATAGCCACCACGGCCCACCTTCCGCCAGGCGCAACTCCGACTTCCAGCTTCCCGTTGCACACGAGGGTCTCCCCACAAGGCCGAAGCCGTAGTGCCGACCATGTCTCGCAGAGCCGCCGCGCTAGGCGAGAACTAGCATGCCGGCATAGCCTTCAACGGCCTCGAACCGCCACTAACCTGCCCTGATCCACCAGTCTTGCTGCCAGTTGACCACGGTGCTGCAAAGGAGAAAGCTGATTGAAAAGAACCAGTCTCCCAAGTTTTGCGATGCCCGGCCGCCTGCGAGGGCGACCCTTGATGTTTGTTCACCGGGAAGGGAATAGCTTAAAGTAGTGGTTTCCCATTCCGGCAGTCTCGTCGAGGCTCTCTCGATAGCCTGAAGTGGTGATTTCCATTCCGTAGTTTCGTCAGGTGCCTGTGAAATCCCGAAGAGGAAATTACTTACTTATGCCCCTCCTCCGTTCCCTCACTCGGCTCCTGCATCCTCTTGAACATTTTGGAGAAAGGGTCGTTCTCCATGGCCTCATACGGAGTGGTATACTTCAACAACTTGTCCTGTTCTGAAGATATCGGTTGATGATGTCGTGCCAGACTCTCCCTCAAACCCCGCCGTACTTGTCGAGGATCGAGTCATCGGCCTGGCCCGTGTGGATGCCCACGAGACTGTCGTACAGGCTGCCGACGTCGGCGATGCCTCCTGTAAAACCCATGCCACCGCTATAAAAAATCAGTGGACGATCTTTTTTAAGAGTTTCGCACCTAGAGACAGACAATGGGTTACACAGATGCGCCGCGTCTGCCGCCAGGAGAAAACCGGCCGACTCGCATCTCGTCCACACACCGCTGGCGGACCCGGTACGGGCTGAAGTTGACCAGTTCGTACTTGTCCGGCGTTGGGGTTGCCGGGCAAGAAAGCTTGGAACCTACCGGGCTGCCGCTCCTTAAGCTGCTCGTATGTGAAACCGCCAACGTCGCCATATGTCACCCGACAGAAGCCATCTGTCTGAATCCGTGCCACCATGTGCCTGTTGTTGTCAGCCATCCCACACAAATCACAACCCCTTACTTCCGAGGCTCGAGGAGGTACGGCACTCACCAATGCTCCGAATGCACAAAGAACAGGCTATCATCACAGTCATACGGCCCAAAGTTACAATCCACATTCGTCGCCACAATCTGCTCGTTCCACGTAAACCCCGGAAATACCATTTCCCCAAACAGCCTCCTCCGTACGGTGCTATTTGCCTCGTCACAGCCAACCACATATTCCCCCTCCACCAATTCACTCCCACCACCTTCCTTTCCCGCCCTCACCCACGCCTTTCCCCTCCTCCCCTCCTCTCCAAGCTCCACAACCTTACACCCATACTTAATCTCCGCCGAGGACTGCTCAAGAACACGACTCTCAAGAATCTTATCTAACCGATGAAGCGGCAAAAGAACAATTTTATACCTCCCCTCCCCCTCCTCCCCACTTTCCATCATTAATCACATTCCGCAGATGCACCATCCTCGTCTTCTTCTCATCCAACCTCCGCCAGGACACGCCATCAGGCGTGAACCCTTCCGCACGGACATCGTCCAGTATGCCGGCGCGGCCGAACTCGATGCAGGACTCGGTCGTGTGGTGGCTTGCGCGCGTTCGGTGTCGAGGGATGCTGTTTGCTCGAGGAGGGTGACAGATGTTGGCGCGGGCGAGGGGGAGGGCAAGGAGCAGGCCAGAGGGGCCGGCGCCGACAATTATGATCATGCTCAGGGGCATGGTTGCATGCCATGTGGTGTCTTGTGGCGACTTGGTGGCTTTCGAATGTGTTAGGTGGGAACGCAAGATCCCTCGGGTGGTGGATAAGCTTTGTTGTTGGTAAGTGCGAAGGGCAGTAGAATAGGGATGTAATTAGGGGGTGGACAACCTGGGGCGCCCAGCCGTGTGCTGCGACAGGCTCGTATGGGATTTGAGGAAATAGGAGTATCCCCCATCATGTCGGCAGCCGGTGTGTAAATGTGTGCGCCCAGATGGTTTGAGTTTCTTGGCTTGTTGGTGTCTGCTAACATGCCCCCGCTTCTCCGCACATCGAGGCCGGCAGCTGAGCTGTTCCAGACGCGGAGCCCCCAGGGGTGGATTGCCACTCTCGGGTTCACTTACCAGTGGTCCTGTGCAACATCTTCATGCAATGTTTCGACCCCGTTAGGGACGGTAAGGTACCTACATGGAGCATTTCGCGGCCTCGGAATTTGTGTCGCAGCTGGATGACAGCCAGCGGACACGATGCAGCAGAACAGACTCGACCCCATATTTGAAATTTATCAGTTGGTAACGTCAGTGGTTAATTATAGAGTGGCCACAGCTACGAAAGAATTGATGGCTTCTCAGAGTGGACCCCGCCGGTGCATCTCAAGTAAACCTAACAACATATGGGCAGGGAGTCTCGTTGAAGTCAGAGATCTTCATGGCCATTACCTTGTTGATCCGATCATTCGGAGCATTCCACAACGTGTCCCCGCCGTCCGTCGTGATAAGACCCACGTGGTGAATCGAATTCCAGACCGCGCAGTCACAAGCGTTTCCAAAGAAGACGGCGTCTCCCTTCTTGCGCTGCGAATACGGGTACTTTGCATACCCCAGCGTTGCTTGGGAAGCGCAATACATATTATGCGTGTTACGCAGGTTCTGTGTCGTCGCGAAGAGGTTGCGGCCGGTGACTTGGCAGAGGGCCCACGAAACGAGACCGGAGCAGTCGAAGCCGAGCTCACCGTCATCACCGCGGGTCGGTCCGCTGCAGGAACCGCCATTCCAGGTATCTGTGGACTTTATTGGCTTGGTCCTTGATAGGACAAACCGAAGTTGAATAAGGAAGAGGGAATGTCTTACATGGCAAACCAGCTGCCTCCATCGCTTTGGTCAGCATTCGTTCACCGACGGTGCCGGTTTGGGTCCTCTTGAGACAGCACTGAATGTCCTGGCTCCCAGGGCAGTAGTTGCCAGGGTCGAAGGTTCCGTCGGGACAGCCGTTGTAGGCGACGCTGCGGCAGAAGCCCGACTTGTCACCGACCTTGCAGGGAATCTCGACGCAGCACTGTGACCATGTTAGTGATCCTCCAACCCAGGCATTGCTCTTGCGAAAGAAGCCCGTTAATCACTCACCTGGACATCATCCGGATCATTGGGGCAGAACGGCTGCGGATATGAGATGCCTCGACAGTTGGACGTCGTCTGGCATGTGCCGGCGCCTTCAGTGCCCGTGCACCTGTCCCCAATAGCTCGGCCAAAGACGCTTTCCTCAGGAGGAGCAGCGAGGGCCAGTGCCGCGAGAAGGGTGAGGGCAGACCAGAGTGACTTTAATTCGACCATTGTGATGTTCTGGCAGTGATCAGTTCTTGTGTCTTTGACTTTTCGCTGGCTGGGAACTGCCAGTCTCAGAAATGGACCTGACATTGGGCATCTTGCTGCTTAAATACCCCAAGAGTAATAAGGTAGTTTGGCTCGGTCGGTGAGAATCCAAAGATATGATGGTTGCGGGCCGCTCATCCAACCTTACTGGCCGCAGCCCGCCAGTGGTGATACCCCGTGCCTTCACCTGAACCCCTGTTTAAAAGGCTGAGCGCTTGAAGCTTTCGCACCTGTTTCTTTTCAGCTCGGTCGGCCGAATCGCTCGGTCGGACACGAGCAAACAATAGCCCGTCTTACAATCTCCAACGACCAACAAGGTCCCTCGGTACCTAACTTATTACCTTGGCGGGCTGAGAAGTGTTCGTGATGGTGACTTGATGTGGCAGGTCTAGGCAGCTAAAGAGCGGTCTCGATGACAAATGGTTTACTTCAGCCCTATAAACTACTAAGTACCGTTACAGTACATAGGACGTTACATGCAGGCTGCAAGCCCAAGAGAGGCGGAGTGGAAAACAATAGTAGTGGCCGCTGCAGCCGTCCATTGGGGAGCACCACCTTCCTGAAAGAGACGACGTGTCTCAGCATCCGAGCCACGACTCCGGCCATTGACAACTCCGTCCTACCTTGCGGTATACTGACACGTCGCCTGGCGGTGATTATTGAGCTACCAAGTTTTCGGATTGGCCACTTGGCAACCCCAACAAGTAAACCCGACGGTCTGGATGATGACCCGAACACTGGTGAAGGGGGTCGTTGATGATCCCAACATAATCTCCAAAGACATGGAGAGAGTCAAGTCTTGAGCCTATTTAACCAACACCTCCAGCACTCAGCACACTGTCCTGACCATGGCCCCTGTAAAAGCATACCTGACTCTTCCATAACCACACCACTGCACCACAAGCCCAACATGAAGGTTATCGCTCTCTTCTCTGCCCTCCTCCTCCCGACCAGCGCCTTCGCGGCCGGCGGTCGTTGTTCTGGCTCCTGGAACGACGACCGGTGCATCTGCATCGACAATAACGAGTGCAGGCGCTACGGTGGCGACCCTATCCAGGGCTCCCCGGGCGACTGGCCGTGCCCAAGCGATCCGGACAACGTTTGGGGTTGTTGGGTTTGGGACAATTGCCCCGGCCTGGATAGCTCGACTGGCTGTATGTGGCGGAATGGCTGCATCGCAAATCGCGGAACCGTCCGCAGAGGTGAGACGAAACCGTCTGGTGCCATGACAAATAACCCTGAGCCAGAGGCTGATCTAAGTACCCCACAGAGGAGGTCTGCCCTGGCGGGGTTGACTTCATCTGCTGTGACTTTTGATTTCGGTCAAGGTGTGTTGACGGAGAGAGAGGGGCTCACGTGTTTGTGTCTGGTATTTTGCATTTGACTACCTAACATACGCAAACTATATGTCGCCCTACACTTGCTCGGCCATTGTCAGTGGCTGTTGCATATAAATGTGGTATCGTTCGTTGAGTTCTAGGTGCAATGGAAATGTGTGAGATGTCCGCCTAGGCGGCAATGCGGTGCCCTCTAGTTAGGTAATTATATTGTAATGCTGCTTATATCCGTGACTTCTGCGGTTACTGAATTCGTGAATTAACTTGTACGAACAACCGAGCCTTTTGCCAACGGTTCCGCAAGGGTTGGCCGTTGACGGAAACGTTCAGGGGCTCATGGCAGAGCTCGGCGGCACTGCCAACGCGTCAACGGGGCTGTATCCTGGGCGGGGCCAGGATTGCCTGGCTGGACCGATGCCAACCTGAGACATTTGGATCAAACTGGTCGGTCTTGGAGCTTAGAGGGTCAGCCATTGGTGGTAACTGCTCGGCGCTTTTCAGCTGTGAAATCTCTCGGGCAAGGCAGTTCAAAGGCCTGGCCAAGAGAGGATGTCCAACCCGCCATTCGGTGTACGATCCAGGCGCGGATGCTGACGGAATATGGGCAAAGCCGCGCGTAGACCCAAATTGAGGGCAATGATCGGCGCCAACACCACACTGGGCGGTTTGACCATCCTGGTGCCAGGCTGAGGCAGCATCGGTTGTGGAAACGAAAGCGGTTCAATGAGTGCTTTGATACGCCAGATGGGGGAATATATACACTGCTGCCTACAGATTACAGTCTTTTGAGTCATTTGGTATACATTGTCTGCAAGCCACAGCCACCTCCGTGTCTGTGAGTCAAATTCCACCGAAAGCAATAGCACGGCTGGCATCACACAAAGAACATGATTTGCAAGTGACTCTTTCCATTATCGGTAGTTAATTGAAAGTACAGTACCTTTCTAGCTATCTGTATCCAGTAACTGAAAGTAGCCTTCTATTATCCATATGTGGTGATAGGAACATAGGAAACGATAGAGACTGCTTCAAGTTATTCCCTTCTATGCCAGTTCCTTCCATTTTTCCTAATCATTTCCATTTTTCTATGGATTACTTTCTTTCAACCGTATCTCTCGTTCTCTCCATTTCCTCATTTTCCTCCTCAGTGTATCAAAGTAATGCCCGGAGATGTACGGACTGTACTGCGTGACAGCGAGATTCCTCAGCCGCTTCATATTCCGCACAAAGGGCCGGACTCCGAAGACGGCAAGTCCGGAATATACGTCTCGCGTAGGGAAGTCAAGGTCTTTCCCACGCTAGGCATGAGGGAGCGGTTTGTCAGGGCCCTGCTGCCCGAGCTCGCAGACCCGGATTGCATCCTTTTCTGGGACCCTCTAGTGGAATCGAGTGCCTCTTTAGTTAAAGTATCTCTAATTGTACGGGGTCGCCGACCTAATTGTACGGGGTCCGCACAGACCCCCGGAATTCCGCCACACCTGTGGCAGGCTGAGGCTCGGCCAAAAAAAAAATCCAGAGCAAAAAGATCGGTTTGAGCGTTTGGGGATAATGTGTATTGTGGCCTTGGGGATCTATCGCAAGGAAATCAGGCATCTATTCCTATCTGTCAACTAGCCTAGGGGGTGTCCGGCGCTGGCGTCCCGAGCTGTATGGCTGCGCTAGACGCAGGATCTTTACAGTACCTTTTTGGGTCTCCTCTACTCTATTTTGCTGGCCTCTCCCTGTCCCTGACCTCGTCCCTGTCCACGACCTCTTCCCTGTCCCTGACCTCTTCCCTGTCCCTGACCTCTTCCCTGTCCCTGACCTCTTCCCT